AATTATTGTTGATGTGTATTTCAAAGTCACTTTGGATTTTTCTATGGAACCTAGCTTAAATATTTTGAAAGTTATATTTAACAACTGCTGAAACCCAAAAATATGGCTACCAGATAATCTCAATAATTTTTTGCATACAATTACATCGTTTAGGAGAACTCCATAGTGGATCATGTCAGACTAATTGTATGTAAATCATTGAGGCTAGGGTGTCAAATATAATTTTCTTCTGTTTTGCACATAGTTAATGCTAGGCACAAAATAAAACTTGAAAGAAGTGCTTTAGTTTAGTAAATGCTTCACTATCTGAGTAAGTAAAAGAAAATATGTGACTTGGTAGTCCAAAAATCATTTGTTTGGCTTTGAATTTCTCTAGAGAATTTCCCAAAGTGTAGTCATTGAAACTCAGACGACCATATACTTTGTGGGAAAAAATGTACATGGCCAAATAAATTTGAGAAATGATACATGACATAACCCCTCTTTATGTAGCATCTTAATTATTCCTTCAGCAAATATTAAATGAACACCTCTTCTATGCCAGAAATCATTCTAAGTACTAAAATATAACGGAATAGATCATGCCAAAATCCCTGCCTTAAGGAGTTTGTATCCTAAAGCCTTTCAGAAGACCTACAGTGAAAGGGGCCTGTTCAATTTTGTGTAACTTCATGTTTTTCAGTCTTATTTGATATTGGAACATTCCTGGAATAGTATTCCAAGGAATGCTGTTTTGGAAATGTGATGTATTTCCATGTTCCTAAATGAAGGGTTAATTCTTGCCTCTTAAGCACTTTTGCCTTTAAGGAGATTTTTCTTTTCAGTTTGTCACATATATTTTGAAATGTTATTTTTCTTCTGTACATGTAGAAGAAAATTATGTATATGTATATAATTATAGAGTCATGTCCTTTTGAGTATTTGAGTGCCTACATGTATTATATATACATATAAATATATGCGCAACATATATGATACATTTAGATACAGTGTAAATATGGAGTTTTGCTTATTGCTGTATGTATCCTTCAAGACTAACTCATCTGTCATTTTTCTCATTTGAACCTGCCTTGACTACCTATGGTAGAATTAATCTCATTTATTTAGGCCCCAGTAGCACAATGTATGTACTTCTATTTAAAACACTTACTGTATTTCATCATAATTTTTTACTCCTTGTTTTCCCAGCCTAAAATAAATTCTTGAAGGGCACAGAGAGACTGTGTCTTAGTCATCTTTACATTGCCATGGTCAGGCCTAAAGCCTGGCCACTAAGAAATATTCAGTACATGTTAGTTGACTTGCGTAAATAAGGGTCATGAAAATTAATTTTCAAGTTTATTATTTTGATTTTCCTAATTCAGACCATAGCTTTATAAAATCTAATCGTTCTAAAGATGTTTTACATTTTCCTTGTAGGTTACATTGTACAGCATGTATGTTTCTATAATGGCATTCAATGCAAAGGTTAGCGATCCACTTATTGGAGGAACATATATGACCCTTCTGAACACCGTGTCCAACCTGGGAGGAAACTGGCCTTCCACAGTAGCTCTTTGGCTGGTAGATCCCCTCACAGTGAAAGAGTGTGTAGGAGCATCAAACCAGAACTGTCGAACACCTGATAATGTCGAGGTAAGTATATTGTAATTTTAGATACCATTAAGCTAATATTAAGATAATAGTTTTCTCATTTTGACTCTAGAAGTACTATATCTTTGTAAAAAATCATATCTCATAGTTTCTTGTCTAGAAATCTATATGTTTTTTTCTTTCCTGTCGTAAGCTGAGGGTTGTAATGAAGTCAAATCAAAAGCAGCTCATTTGAAGGTGCTTCTCAGCATGGGAGGGGCAAGCTCTCTAGTCCACCTGAGGATCATAGTCCTGCACAATAGGAGCTTAATGAATGCATTATTCATAGTTCAGTTTTATAATGATAGCAAAAGGGAAGTTCTACTAGCTATTCACACAACAATTTTAGGTAAAACCAAATGGTTAGTAGTTTGTTGATAAATTTTTTCGAAGTAATAGCCTACTCCTCGAGTAGATTCATTGGACATTTCTTCGCATCTCCAGGTATGAAAAGCTGTATCTTGAAAATTAGTATTGTTTACAGAACAAGCTGAAAATTGCTTTTAATCGTATTAGTAGCATTAGAGAGCTTAAGCTACATTAACGTGTTTTGCCACGTGAAGTAATTGAAATATTTTAACAAAAATAGATTTTCATTAATCTTTTAAATTATGAAGTAGAAATATTTAAATTGGTGAATACTTCCATTTTGAAATTGTGGAATATTTATTATAATTTTATTTTTACAGCTTTGCAAAAAACTCGGTGGCTCGTGTGTTACAGCACTGGATGGTTATTATGTGGAGTCCATTATTTGTGTGTTTATTGGATTTGGTTGGTGGTTCTTTTTTGGTCCAAAATTTAAAAAGTTACAGGATGAAGGACCTTCTTCATGGAAGTGCAAAAGGAGCAATTAATACATTCACTATTGGGTATTCTGAGAAAAAGGTAACTATAGTTTAGTTTTAATTCAGAGAGCTATGAAAATCAATGCACAGGAATATGAAATATTTTAAACACAAATTATTAATATAAAATGCCAAATCATTAAAAAATAGAGACCTCTCTGTATGTTGATTATATTTTTCCTTGCCTTGTTTATGTATTTAAAGTTTACTTAAGGTTAGGAAGTGGATTCTAAAACACCTTTTCCTGCCTTGTTATTTGATTTATATCTTTTCAATTTACTGACCAAAGTAAGTTTTAAGCTGCAATGCAGCAGTCATGGGTGATAACCATGCAGTCAAGTATTGTTATCAGTTCCTGTCACTGAGCTGTATTCAAAATTTTGGTAAAATACATTAAGTGGAACACAGCTTGATATTCAGGTACTAATTACAACTAGTCTGGCCAGTTGGAAGTTAAATTTTATTTGGAATTGCAAATTGGTTAAATTCTATATATGTAGAATTTGCTGAGAAGAGAATCTAGGCTACTGACTTAAATGACATATTAGTTGTTATTTTTCTGACCACAAGCACATTGTACTTATGAATCTGTGTTACGAAGACTATTCACAAACGCATTGTGCTAATGAGCCTGTGTTAAAAAAAAAAAAGACTATTTTAAATGTATTTTCTGCTTTTGTAAGCATTAAAGATTTATAAGATATTATTCAAACTATTTTTTATAAAATGGAGCTATCATTTTTAATTTATTGATTCCCCTGTCCACCTTTTTTGAAAAGGTATTTTGATTCCTTGTTAACTTTTACCATAAAGCTTACATATGTTTTTTGTTCTAAGTGCTTCAGCACACAGACATCTCATGAAGGGATCAAATTTAGTGTTATATATATGTTCACAGCAAAGTCCTGAAAATAAAAATTAAATGTTTTTCTTCAAGTAGTTTTTGTTTGTGTTATCGAGAAAAAAAACAAAGCTTTCAGATTAAGTAAAATTTGAGTAGGTAATACTGTAATTAAAAAATAATGCTGTTTGAATATCAACTATACGAGGTGTGATCAGACAATACGGTGAATGTTTAAATTTAAAAAATATATTACAGTAAAAGATACATTGCCATTAATCCCCCTCAAAATACTCCCTCTCGCTTC